CAAAATATGTAGCAGAAAAACAAAATATCACAATGTCAGATCTTTCCAATATCGTGCAGTCCTATTTTACGCGAATATAAGCTATTCAAATGCCAACCCTTTCCTATTTTCATCCACATTTTGACATGAGCAAATCAGTTTGAGCAAATGCAGACAACGATTAATATTTATAACCTCATCGGATTGTCAGAAGTAGTTGTAGGTCTTATTGTTTTCATTAAAATTGTGTAAGGAATTACTTGTGTGTAATTGTGAACTAGGTTATGATACTATGGTAGTATCATGATACTATGGCTCCAAAATACTAGTGGTGCCACTGTAGTTTGTAAATCGTAGTATCGTCAATAATGTTCCATCTACAATACATAATGTTGCAAGTGGAAAAGTCATTAAAATGCTCACACATTTGTGCAACAATAGACCATTTTATTTGAATGATCTCTGGAGCTCTTTAAGGTTGCAAACAGTCTAGAATTTACGCCTTTTATGGGAGCCTAATGTATGTTTTCTGACGCTTCAGTTCGAATCTGTGTCAGTTCATTTCTGCTCCTGTCGATATAATTTATTAGCTACAAAAACACTGACAATCTTTTAAATGTGTGATTCACAAAGTTAAATTTTAAATCACTATGGATTTTTACCCGATAAAACTGAAAAAAATAAAGAATAGACACTAGTAACATTGAAACAATTTTGACTATTTCATGAACCCCAGTTTAGTTGAAAAACTGCTCGTTTTGTATCTAACTGATTTGGTATAATTTGTATCTTTATTTTAGTGTATTTTGGTTGGTCAGTTATCTACAAAATAAACAAAAAGAAGGATTACCTTTTAGGTGAAGTGATGTGCAAATACTTTTCTTTAATAATAAGGAAATGATTAATTCAATTCAAGTAGACCTATTATAACATATAAACTGTAATATTTCTGACCACTACTTGGTACCACGATACTTCAGCAGGTATAGTATCGTAACATGAATTAGTGGTATCACGACAACCCTAGTGTGAGCTAGACTTTACCATGTATGGTTGAGTAATAGTGACCATTTCATGCCAGAATGGATTTTTTTCTTGCATATAATGTTTGTGCTTTAGCTTATGACTTTATTATTTACCTCACATTTTTAACCTTTGTCTTTTCAAACAGCTAGTTTTAACCAGGACTGCTTGTTTTGCCTGCTTTGGTTGTTTTCAGCTTGACTGTCAGGATGTGGCAAGTTGGCAGGTTCGTTTTCTGTAGTACTTTTTGTTTCCTTTGCTGGAAAGATTTATGAAAGCATCCTCTTTTGCGTGCCCATTTGACTGGTGATTTAAAGGGTTTTAGCCCTCCTCAGGCCTAGAGTTTCCTTTTCGAGTCAACGGAGCATGACTCAAAAAGGACAAGAGACATCCAGAGACACTGTCCCACCATCTAATAAACCCAGTAAACTGCTCTGGGGAAACTTCAGATGATGAACTACTATAGTTCCACCTGATCTCACACAGATTTAACGTTTTTAATTTCATGTTTGTGATGTTGGGTTAAGCCAGGGTCAGTTTATTTGTTTAGAAGTAGTGGTCAAATTCATGTTCTCTGTGTTTAGAGGATTTTCTCAGTACGATTATGGCCTCATTTTGAAGGCCCATTAAGAGGGAGTTCTCTCCAGTCAGGGTTAATCCATTCTGGCACATTCCTGCTGGGAGAATCCTCAGGGTTCTGATCCTCCCAGACACCCCTTCTGAATGAGGACTGCCCTTAATGTGCTCTCTACGACCTTTATAGTGTTTACAGAAGGTATTTGGATCTTTTCTATGGTCAGCTGAGCAAATTTTGGTTCTTTAGCATATTTATTTTAGCATTTTATTCTTTGTTCTACTTCATTATTTTTAATAAACCTTTTTGAGGATGGATGGATGAATGGTTAGTCTGTAAGAGTGTGAATATACACTGGCCTCATGGTTCAGCTTGATTACAATTGACATCATTGATTTGGTTAAATTCAAAGTCATATTGCCTCGTGCAATGCACTTCATCTTCAGTTTTTAATACACTTCATTTGTATTATATTATGGCTGCACGAGTAATCGAATAAAGATTATGATCTCGATTCAACTCTCCACATGATCTTAAAATCAGCCAATTATATTTTTAAGTTCATAAGAGAGGTGTAAAGGCGGTCACACAAGTCTTTACATTGTTTTATTAACGTTTTTTAATAACAGCAATGTGGACCTCTCCAAATATTGTTGAAAGAGTCAAATACTGTTTTTATAAGGCACAATCCACCCAAAAATGTATTTTTTGTGATCATGTAATGTATTCACGGACAGGAAATCACATGCAAGCTGACCGTGAACTGTGGGTCTTCCACGCGCCGTGAATGGTGTCTACTTTAGTGAACAGAACCAGCATTGATGGGGGATAGAAAGTAATAAAGTTGTTAATAATATTCATTTTGTTGCTTTTTAGGATAGTTTCTAAATATTTAATTTCACTTAAAGAAATCGCGCTTCTTGAACATATCAAATAAGCGATAACGGCATATCCATCATTGTGTTCAGCTACTCAGTGAGTGGGAAAGGAGAACATTTATTCTTTATACAGCGATTTAAGAGATCTTAGAGTCTACTGTACATTCAATGTTAGCAGAAGAATGTCTCGGCAAACTGACAAGCAGCAAAGTGTGCCCAGATTTAGGCTTTTAACATATTTGAAACTCTTTTAATTGCTTGCATGTGAGTCTTGCCTCTCTTGCCATGGTATGCTTATCGAATACTCATCTCGCCTCGCTTGCTATAGTATGCTAGCTCAACAAATGATGTCAGAAAACCATTAGGAAATTGTAACCGATTATCAAACCCATAATGAATCATCTTCATCTGCGTCAGTCACATTGCAGGACGTGCAATGTAAAGTTGGATTATAACACATCATAATATTGTGGAGTCATTGCAAAGCACCAGTGTCTTTTTGTTTTCTTTTTTGGTCCATCCCAGCCACTAGCTCCCGATCCAAAAGACTTTTTATTATAGGTTGTAATCTAGTTATGTTATGTCTAGTAATGTTGCAATATGTATTTGTACAATGATGGCTGGTTTCTTTACTTGAAAGCTCAAATTTGAATTTCATAATTTCTTTTTCTTGGCAGAGTTTGAGGTTTACTGTATTGTAAGATGTATTATTGACACCTTATGCAAAGTTCAGACTGCGTGATTTTCAAAGTAGTCGTGTCACAAATGTTTACACACTGCCTGACAATCTGGGTTTGCGTTTTGTCGCTGCTTTGTTTACACTGCATGACAATCTTGGTTAGCGTTTTGTCGCTGCTTTGTTTACACTACAAGATGGATCGGCCACAGGGGCTTTCACATTGCATGACTTTACAATAGGAAAAATCGCCAACAACTTCATCCAAACTACATCTCTCAGCCAAAAACACGTAGTATATCTTTTGTAATTAACTACATAATGAGAAAGAAGCCTTTATTGGGGTAGAAAATATACATATTTGCTCACCTGGGTTTGAAGGAAATTAGCAATAATTTCTCCTCAACTTTCTTTTTTGACCCGGTTGCGGTACTGCTCACATGACACGTCAAACAGACACGGGTGCTCCTGCCAAATTTACACTAGTTTTTCCTCCATTTCTTGGTTCCCAATAAACTGAAATGCGCTTTTAACTTGCAGCTAGACACACACACACACACACAAACACTAGTCTAGTGAAAGCTACTCTCTCATTGGCTGTAGGCAATTGCTGATGTTATTTTCAGTCAAAATTTCACAGGACATGATTTGAGTCGCCGACTACTGCAGATATTTAGCACTCCAAATATCTCACAGGCATCGGCAACTCATCTGCGGTTCCCTCTGGTCACATCTTTGATAGTTCACATTGTATGATTTAAACTCGCGTAAACGAGCACCAATTTGCCTGTGATTTCAGGTATTTTACGGCGATTTCTCAAAACCTGTCGGCGAGTCAAAATCGGGGCTAAAATCATGCAGTCTGAACTCAGCAATACAGATGTTGATGTACCTTAAAGTTTGCTTTGATTAGTGTTTTCACTTAACCATTGCACATACTTTGTAACATTTTATTTATAAAGTTTAAGAGTCTCTTTAAAACTTGTTTTATTTTACTATAAAGACATCAGATATTTTGTTTAAATATTTTAGTTTTCGACTATTAAAACTATTTGCCGTAGTAATGTTGGTTAATTAAAATGAAGTGGTTAAAAAAACCTAATATTCCCAAATCGATTGTTAAAAAATCATCAATAATAATCAATTCCGAATTATATAAAACATTATATCATGAAATTTTTTTTGCAGTATCGCCCAGCCCTAGTTTCCGGTTGTATTAAAACTCCAAAATCAAGCTTTCATTTTTGTATTTGGTGTATAAGTATAATCTGTTTTTGCAGGTCAAAGATCTTATTTGTTATATAATAATAATGTTAGTGTGTAACTTCTGTGTTGCCTACAAACATTTACTTCAGCACTTTATAGTTGATTTATACACCCCAAATTAGATTTAATTTGATTCCAAAATAAATGCAATTGACAAGACTGGTAATTACGAGACACGATTTCTGTGGTTGCATCTCTGGATGCTGTTCTAGGATACAACTGACTGGTAAGGGTGTATAGTAGGCATTGTTGTCAAGCCCTGAATGCCGCTCTTGCCACAGCTGTTGTCAAAAAGAGCTTGTGGGTTTCGGTGACAGTGACATATGTGCCCTTCATGTTCAGGGCACTATGTCTTCCCGAAACCATGATTAAACTCATTCCCTATAAATGCTGAGCTGGACTTCTGAGCTGAAAACACTCAAGGGTTGAATCCTCAGTCTTTTTCTCCTTGTCTGCGCTTGCCCGACTCTGGCCTTTCATGTTCTGTGTGATGGAATAAAGGAACAGAGTAAAGTTAATCTGCTTTGCAAAATTGACTGTTCATATTAGAAAGGTGACACATCAGTATTCAGGGGACTAATCTGTCTTTCTTTTGCTTTCACAGGATTCGTTGGACTTTGCAGCACATCTTCAGCATTTTTAGCTGGATTTTAACCTTTCCCATCTGACGCCGGCCATGGAATCGGTAAATCCCAATTCTTCTTTCTTGACACTTAGCGGTTATTGGCTTATTTTTAGTGTGGCGGTTGGGTGTTGAAATACTGAAGAAACGTGCGTGAAGCTGCAGTGTCTGTTAAATTCTGCTTTGCTTATTCTGGAGATACTGTTCTGTTCTAGGGAGCTTGAAAATGGTGATTAGGCTTTTTGAAGTCTTTCCTTTCAGCGTATAGCTTTTATATATGTTTGAACACGCAGCCTTTATTTGTGAATGTGATGCCATAGAGTTTGTTGGCGCCGCTGCTAGTACCAACAGGCAGGTGGACGGCTCAGCTGTGGAATGTGTGCATTAAGAGCAGGGCTTACTGCATGCCTGGGCCCTGCCTGTTGCTGCTTTTGTTAAGGGTTTTTGTTTTTGAGTGTGGATTTTGCTCCGCGTAGAGGCTTTTATAAAAATGGGTCACTGCTTGCAGAGAGCTCGCTGTCTCTAATCTGGAGTCCCACTCCAGCACACAGCTCATGTGACCATGCTTCATTAGTAAGCAGTGGCAGCCTATGACTCTGTAGAGACACTGCCTTTCCCCTGTGGAAACTAGCAGACCTGTGTACTCTCAAACTATGTAGCTTTGGCTGCTGCTTTAAAAGTATTGTTCATCCAAAAGATGCAATTCTGTTATGTATACTCATTCTTTAAACCAAGACTCCCGTGGAACACATTTGTGTAGCTATTATATTTTTTAACAATATAATTGAAATGGGACTAATGCTGTAAATATTCTTATATTATACCCACAATGAACTGAGCAAAACTGAAACTGAAAACTGGACTGACTCTGTTTCAATTTACTATAATCTTCTATGTGAAGCTGCTTTGGCACAATCTACATTGTAAAAGCTCTATAGAAATAAAGGTGAATTGAATTGAATTATGACAAATACTCACCTTACATCAGTCCATAATACCTTTGCACTACATTCTGGTCTTTTGAGGCATTTTGTACATTGTAAAAATATCCGTAAGTTACCAGTTTTTCATATTATGCGATTCATGTTTTTATTTTTCCCCATTTATACTTTTGAATAGAGTTATGGGACCTTGATCTTTCTTCCAACAGCTTTTAACCTCAAAAGTTGCTAAAGTTGCTTTATTTTATTTATGTTTTTTTACATTTTGAATAGTTTAAAGTGATATATTGTCTAGGTTGGTGTTGTATATTATGCTACAGTAACCTCATAATATAATATGAGTATATGATAAACGTGACAGTACATTTTCTGTTATTTTAGACTGATTTCTCTGTTTCTTATAGGTTATATTATTTTAAGCTACTAAAATGTCAATAAAAGTCACTTTTTAACTGTAGAGTTTAAAATTTCAACATTTAAATTCAACAAAACTGAGATCAAGCTCCAACAATGCAGTTCACATCTGTAAATAAAAGAAAAACACTTGTGAATCACAAAAATGCTAAAACTGTTGATTGACATATATTTTTTTTACAATGTAGTCTCTATTAAAATGTTTGCATTTATGTAAAGTGGAAGTTTATTTGTTTCCTGTGATGGTGTGGGCCTGCCAGTTCTGTGGCTCTGAACTAAAAGCTAGTCCATTATAGTTATCTTTTTACATTTAATAAAAACAGGCCTTGTTGCATTGTGGTGTTTTAAGACTATAACCTATATAGTAGGTTTTTGCAGAGTGTTATTTTAAAGGCTGTTTTAATGCTAGTTATTGATCAGTTCTATTGTTCTGCAGTGTTGTTTTGTATAATTAAGCTGTGCGTGGGCTGGTGTTGAGTCTATTGATGATGATGATGATGATGATGATGATGATAATGTCAGGCAAATGAATTGCATATTTGTGACATACTTTTTGTGGACCTCATTGAGGGATTTGACTGTGTGTAAATGTTTAAGGTTTTTATAAGCGTAGGCTATATGCACATATTTTTTCCTGTCTATATTTGGGAGCTTTAAGCTTTTAGGATGCAAGTCCACCAAAGCATGTTTGCACTGCAGAAATGTGAGCACTGTTGTTTGTTTTTTCTGTTGTTGTCAATGGAAGTGTTGCATTTTAAAATGCCAGCAGTGTAGCATGCCTTTTATGCTCAGCACAGATATGCAAAAAAAAGTATTCAGTTAGCACAAGTATTTAGAGTAGTCAGTTTGTACTTTTACTTAAACGATTATCAAATTTGATGTAGTACACATCCTTAGTTTGGAACTAATTTATTGTTTTGAGTGAGGCATGGTTTCCATTGCATTTGTTCTTCCATGGCGGGGCGCCACACCAATTTTAATTCCCACCAAGACTACATTACAGTTTCCCATTCGAAACCTTCAGTTATTGCTGTTTCCTTTTTAATAGCAGGTTATAATCGCACGAAAACGTATCAAAAAATGTAGGTGAATTATAACAGAGCAAACTTTTCTGTAATCATAACTGTTTGAGCTTACATGCTGACCGACAGGGCTCCACGATGCGTATCACAACCAGCAAAAACATCATAGTTTTCAGTTATGATGAACACAGTTTTCATAACTATACTATCTATAAGGTCTATGGCTCTGTATACAATGACTTTATCTTAATGGAGTGTATAACAGTTTCACTTTACTTGATGACGCATCAATGCCTTTCTCTAGAGACATTCAAAAATATTCCTAGCAAATCTTAATAAATCTATATATATTTATATTTAAGGGTGTGCAAAAAGTTTTGTGCACAAGCAGAGGAAATCGATGTGCAAGAAAAGAGATCTCGACTTGTAATACTGTGCTCACATTTGTCATTGAAATACCGCCATAGGTAGTTGGAAGATCTGTGTAAAAGGCCTGCCACCACATCTGGAAAAAAATCCTAGAGGAAACACTGTAAAGTATTCCTTTATGTTGTTTTTATTTAGACTCTGCAGCTTGCAATGTCCTGAATTCTGCTTACCAATTTTAAGCCAATTGTAATGTATTGTTTTGGTTCAATTTGGAAATTCCCCAACCAGCGCAGAGCCCAGGGGACCAGAGTGAGTGCTCCGACTTGGCCCCCCCTGGTCCTTCCTTAAAGCTTTTACTGGAGCATCATATTGCTACAGTTCTTTTTTTCAGCACTCAGACTAGAAGAATGCCACATAATCAAACATACAGCAGTCAAGTTCCTCTTTTACCCTTTGAAATTCTGATAGTTTCCTCCATTTCGTGGTTGCTGCTCTAGAGCTCAGAGATCCTCTGCTGTTTACTTCAGAAATCAGAACATATCTGCTTACTGTCAGTGGAAACCAAGGAGGCTGATCACAAAGCTCATTATGCCGACAGCACACACTGTATGTGTGTGTGTGTCTGTGTTTTCCTCACCCCACCCTCTCAAAACCCCTTCCACATCTCATGTGATGCCAGTCACATGGTTTCCCGGCATCAGGAGCAGTAAATCAGAATCAGATTTTATTTTTAACCTCTCTAAATCCACTGCTATGCTGTGTCGGTTAGCAAAAGCACTTGCTCTAGCCCTCTCTACCTCCATTTCCCCTTGAACCCCACACGCATGCCGCCCTGCCTCAGATTTGATCATATTTGCAGCATTTTTTTTTTTGCTGACTGCACCGGGGTGGTGTTTGGCAGCACTGCAGATGAAAGGAAGCCCTCTGCTCATTACAAGCGTGTTTTTCTTGTCCTCGCCTCTTTCCAGAGCAGCTCTGTCCCTCAGTGAGATTAGTCTGTGCTACTCCAGTGGGGAAATGCAGCCTTGCCAGTCAAATTACATAACTCTCATAGCCAGGCTTGAGACAACTATAGAGGCTTTGTTCCCAAGTTACTCCTCCTCCTCCCTTTCCCTCTTGGCGGCCCACATGTTAATGTGGTATTGAAAGAGTCTGTGTGCTGTGAACAGGCTCAGCTCTGTGGTGAGAGAGCAGAAATCTTGCATCATTAACGTGCACAATGGCATCATGCTTGTATGCGAGCACCAAGATTAGAGCGGCAATCAGGCTCTTCCTGTGAAAGACAACTTGAGCTTGGGACTCTTCTAATAGTGAAGTCACGTGCTTGTCTCTTTATGAGTCAACCTCTTACTGTATAAGCGGGACTGTGACACGCTCTGTTCATTTTAGGATAGCAATGTGTTTCTGTTTTGCTCAGAACAACACATTTCAACTTTTGAAGGGTTTGTACAAATAAGTTTACACACAAGGTGATGCTATTAACCATGCCTCAGCACAATTTAAAAGGCAAAGTCCAGCTATTCAGGAAATTTCAAGTTAAATTTTTAAGTATGCCTAGACTTTTCAGACAAACATTCAAATGAGACCAGACCCTTTGGTGGGCAGAGTATTACAGTGCTTCCCGCAGGTTTGAAATTTGGGGGGTAGCTGGATTAAAACACACCCTTTACCCACATCACATAAATAGTTAACAATGTATTGTTTGTCGCATATTATTTAATTTCTAACACTAATTTTATTTTTATGACACTGTTAAACACCAAGTAAAACAAAAAGACATATGCATATGTAACATATTAACATTAAATAAATAAAATAATCAGCAAATGAGAATTAAATGACAGAACAAGGAATAAAAACAGATAATATCTCTAAAAAAAAATCTAAATTGCAAGATTAAAACTTGTGGATTATTTAAATAAGGCAAATGTGTTGATTAACCATTATTAATGGTGTACATGCATTTTGCAGCCAGTTTAGACCAGTCATTGTATCCTCTTTGAGTATATAGTATAGTAAAGAGTCGTTTAGATTTGAAAAAAATTATGTTATGTTTCTGTTGCTCTTGCGAATGTGTACGCAGTCAGCCGCGAAGCTTAAGTAAAAGGGCAATACAAAAACAGAAATGAGCTTTAGAAAGCAACATTTTAGGAGATTTAGGAACCTGGACACATTTTTTAGGTTCCAAAAAGGCACGACTCTGTTGGTCTGCTAAGCACCTGAGACTGTCTGGAAGTGTTGTTTACAGGTCTTGCGCACAGAGCGAAACGAGTAAACGAGAGATTTTCCACTAATTATTAGATCACGGATGTTTGGT